GGTGTTCGCGGTGCCGGTGCATGGCAGGGCGCAAGACTTGCAAGCGAGATCCCCGGCCGGTCTCCAGCCGGGGCTTTTGCCCTTGCCCTCCAATCCAGGGTGCTGGCGTTGGCAAAGCCGCAGCGAGCATCCAACAGTTGTCGCAACCGGGTTGTTAAAGCCTTTGGTCTCTGTTAAAACCTCGCGGCGCATTCCAGTGAAGGTGTCGTAGACCAATACGCGAAATGTGGTTGCGGATATCGCTGCCAGCTAAGTAAAAAAAAAATAGGAAAAAGGCAGATGTAGGCCATATGCAACATGTATGGCACAAATACACCATGGTTTTTATTCCCGTAGTGGGATTTAGTTTGTGTCTGTTTTGCTTGGAAGGAAGAAATGGTAATCAAGCAGTAGGGTTAAGTAGCATCTGTTGCTTATCTAGCTGCTCTCTTTTGTTATCTGCTACCCGAGTTCCTTTCTATTCTTTTGCTCCCATTGAATCCTTTCTAGGTCAGACATTCAAAGTAACATCACAGGAAGCTACAAAGCTGAGCCTGGCATTCTCAAGGTCTCCGCTGACTTCTGTGGAGGTGAGTGAAAGCCCCCCCAGACTGTGAAACTGCAGTGTGTGTGACAAGGTTCAGGTATCTCTTGATTTTCTTGATTAAAACAGAGTAATTTGATTCAGTGCAAACAAGGGATGTCGGTATGGGGTATGCATTGTAGAGTGTATTAATCCAGTTCAAGAATTGCCCGGAGAGCTACTTTCTGTAAGCTAGGGAGATACACCAAACAGAAGTATTCTTACATTCTTTTGACATCTACAGCTGGTTGCTGGTAAATGCAGGATGTTGGGACAATACAGTCCTTAGATCTAACAAAGAATACTCAATATTTTTGTGGTTAATTGAGAGAAGTTTATCACACTTGTGCTTGGAGGAGAGAAAAAAAATAAAAAAGACCCCCCCAGTTCAGAATAATGATCTAATTATGATCCTCTGATGCATGGTCACCACACCAGGGTGTGTTTTGTATCTAAATCGTGAGGCGGCTAATGATGTGTACATCTTACTCACTGTATATTCTTCTTCTTGTGTATTTGTTTCTCAAGCAAGATGGCTGTTACTATACTTTCCTTTTCTCAAAGCAACCTGAATGTAAGTGATTGCTCATGAGACTTTCTAAATGCAACAGAGCCATTAACTCCCGGTTAATCCTTTTGCTTATCCATTTTCAGGATTGCCGGAAGCTGAGTGAAGATGTCCAAAATGCCATTCTTGCAGTTGCCACAGTGTACCACTGGCTCCCCAAGAGCCAAGGTGAGACAGTGACAGCGGGGCAGTTACTGCTTTATAGGGTGGTGGTTCTTTCAGCACTCTATAAAGAAACCCAGTATTTCAGAGCCTGAGATCTGGCATCTGCAGGAAAGCAAGTTATCATGAGCAGGTAGTCCCATTATCAGCTGTTCTGCAGACTTGCAACATGTTGATGAGTGAACCACTTGTCTAACTACTCCTGCAGATTTCCATCTGTGAAAGAGTGATGATGTAGGGAGTGGTATAGTTGACTAAGCATTCATATTTACCAAGTGTTGAGACCCTTGTCCAAAGTCCTTTTGGAACCTGGAAACACCTTGCTTCCTTCAAAATACCTGTAACTTCATTTATACCGTGTATCCCCACAGGGGGAGCAGTCTGTGTGCTCGTCTTCAACAGCTGCTTTCTGTTGGTGCTGACTTTTGCTCTTTCTCGATCTCAACCAGGTACTACTCTTCGGAAGATGGTACGAGATGCTACTACTGAAGTAGTGGAAGGAATGATCCAGCTCACAGAAACAATTCTTAGTGCTCCATTGGAGAGGTAGTAATTTTCCAGAAAAAAAGGAAGAAAAAGCAACAAGTATACTTGTTAGGAAGCAGCAAGTGCAGAATGCTTCCTTAAGGGGAGTGGGGAGGCAGAAGCAGAGCATTGTTATGAGGCAGGAAGAGGCAGCGGCCTCATCAGCAAAGGCCCTGTCATCCAGTATCTGGGTGAGCAGAGCAGTGCTGGTGAGGGTAGTGAGGTTGAGAGTCCAGGTCATCAGACAAACCCATAGCAGTGACCTCAAGCTGGAAAACCAGGCCAGCAAGTCAAGGTCAGGGTCAGGTCCCGAGAGAATGACTGGCATCAGACACCATCCAGTGATTGTCCAGCATGTCCATTACAGTGAGTTGGGTCCGAGGTCAAGGCAGGAAAGTCAAATCGGTGGGTCAGGATCCAGGTCAGAATCAAGGGGATATGAGACTGGGTGCAGATACAACTGCATGTATATATGTAGGACAAACAGGGTCCAGTGAAAGAACCTCAGGGTAAAAGCATCTCCAAGGGTAAGGAAAGGCTGGCCCTTACTTCTACGATTTCTTCACAATGCCTCCTGTCAGCAAAGGAGGAGCAAAAATTAGCCAACTAAACCCTTCAACTCGGCCAACTGGACTCCTAGGAGGGTGGAATACACTCAGGGCCCTGACAGTATGCTTTTGTCCCAGTGACTGAGTCAGGTACATTTGCCTACATGGAGAATAGATTTTCGTCCTGTCTGTGGCAAGGAAGGATGCTGAGAGCAGGATTCCCGTGAGGTGCTGGATAGCGTTTGTGCTGTGTGGCAGTTTCTGCCCTTGGAGTGAACTGTCATATGCAATGGTTGCACAACTTTGTAAAGCTAGTTATTGGACCATTATGGACAGCTTCCTCTCTTTACGGGTTATGCGCCACTGCCCTTAAGCAGAGGTCAGCAATCTCTAATGCAGACTTCTGATTTGCATAGATTTTGAAAGGTAAATAATGTGCCTAAGCACATTGAGAGGCCTTTGTAAGAGGCTTCTGCTTCTTGTTCCAATGGATGATTAAACCTAGTAGGATCCAGCACTTCTTGCTTTACACGGACACAAGATACTAGTGACAGGCTGGCTGGTGCTATCTTTTCAGCAGAGCTTCTGCTAGTGTGCATCATCTTTGGTGCAGAAGAAAAACCCCAACAGTCTAGCAGAGTGTTGTTACTAAGTCTTAACTTGGGGGCGGGCTTTGTTTTGTTTCAGCTTATCTCGGGAACAGCTTATATCAACAGGTGGTGTGTGGGAAGCATGTGAGCAAGTGACCGACCTGCCGCGAGGTGAGTATTGTGTATGCAGAACGACAGAACTAGGGTGCGTTGTCTCGGAATACGAATAGCCCTTGCAAGGGTCATTCTACCTAGTACAATGGAGGCTCACGCATTCTGGAAAACCCAACTGTTTTGGAATGTATAAGCTTGGAAGTCAGGCCAGATTCTTTGCATGGCAACAACGCCGCTCTGTGCTTTGTAAAAAGTTGGATACCATAATCTCAACACCTAACAATTGCAAACCTAGGTGAGTGTTGTTGCAAAGTGATTTGAATCAGTGCAGTGTCATGGCTTTTATCCTTTTGCTTTTACAGATAACCAGGCAGCAGTTGTGTCAGCTGTGGCTGCATGTCTAGGTGTGGTCAAGGATGCTCTGGAGGAGATGGAACACGTAAGGAAGCCCCTAAGCCTTTGAAGAACCTGCAGTGATGGATTGCCGTGATGGTTCAGTGATGGAACACAGGGATTGTTTTGTATACAGGCTTTGATTTAAATTTCTTCTGATATGAGCTAGGTTATTATATCATGCCTGGATCTTAATGAGTTTTAAAACTCAAGCGTGGTTTACTTTATATAAGGTTTCCATAAAGCCATGTCCTGAATTGCAGACATTATTTGTATGATTTCTAGATTATGTTTTCCCTTTCCTCCTGGGTATTGCTGGAATTGACGTTAGGCTCTGGGTTTTCAGTACATCTGTGTTCTCAGGCTCTGGTGGAAGGGCAAGACCCCTACAGTGACATCATGGAAGATGAAGATCTGGGCTTTCGGGGCAACAGAGATACGTATTGGTCAGAAGCTGATCGGAAGCTGCTTAACTCCTGCATGGGATTAATGAAGGCTTCTAAAGCTTGCCTGAAGAAGGTCTTGGGTGTAGTGAAGGCTTATGGCAAAGCTGATTTTCCAGAGCAGATCGCGCAGCTGGATGATCTTGCAGACATTGCTAATGAGATCAGTCCAAGGTAAGCAGGTCTGTCCCCATGCTGCTTTTTGCTCCAGAGCAGTCACTGTCTTGAGGTCTAGAGAACGTATTAGGAAAACCTTCATGATACTGAAGCTGTGAGTAGGTGGTGGAAGCGGGTGTGGTGGGAATATTATGGCATAGGCTCTTAAGTGTTTTGCAGCTTAGGAGAGGAACATATGTTGCGGCTTGGGGTGAAGCTGTGGCTATGCCTCACTCTAAGGTGAGAGTGCACACGTGTCTGAGAAGGCAGTGAGAAGCATCACATGGGTATGGCTGACGTCTCCTTGTCATGCAGTACTGTTCCTGAGTTACATTCAGGATGGGCGTAGGCTTTGACCAAGATCCATGAGTTGTGTGCCACCGGGACCTTTCTTCCATTACTCCCCTCTCTTCTATTCTAGTGTTGATGAGCTGGCACTGAGCATGTATCCACCTGTGAACCAGCTGGCTGTGCGACTCAATGTGAGTATCTGCAGCCTGCATGCGGGTCTACTTACTTGGCTGTAGAGAAGGGGAAGAAGTTGAATTGGAGAGATTCTGTGACTGTCAGGGAGAAGTGGGTGTTAATGACTGTCTCGGTAACAAGTTCTTAGGGATGAAGAGTCCCCTTTGGTTCTTGCACACTTCGCTTCCTTCAGGTGGAAGTGCATTACTTGCCTTCACTTAAGGGAAGAGCATGGCTACTTGAGCTTTGGCTGTGACTTATAATCCATAGAGACATCCAACGTCAGTACCTCAGAAAAGTGAGATACTGCACATTTACTTTCTTCCTTGGGTAGTGTAGACTTGCTCAAATAAAGTTATCTACATTAAAAATTCTCACAGTAAGCATGGTTAAGCACTGAAACGAGCTGCTCAGAGAAGCAGTGGAATCTCCATCTTCGGCAATACTCAAAACTTGACTGGGCAAGGCTCTGAGCAACCTGTCTGAGCTTTGAGGTGGGCTTTGCTTTGAGCAGGAGCTTGTACTGGATGATATCCACGGGTCCCTTGCATCATAAATTAAGTACGTATCTTCTCATATCTGAGATCTTTTTATTCTTCTGGTTTCATGCTTTTGGCCAGTGGCCTGATTTTTTGGGGTAAAAAAAGAAAGTATTGCTTGATTCCAAAATTGCGTTACAGTCAGTCACTTTTAACTTCATGCCTTAATATCAGTTACCAGTTTCTAATAGGGTTATCTTTTTAAAGAAAAAAGCATTTTAACATATGCTTTAAAAAACAGCCTGTCTTTATTTTTACCTGTCTCAGCCAACAGTAGGGTGGGAGATACTCCCAGCATGGCAGCGATAGACAGCTTCCTTCTGTGTCAGGATCTGTGGCAGTTTTACTCATTCTTGGCTGTGTTGAGCATTCCACCCTTGTTTTCCCCAGTACTGCTGAGCCACTTTTTTTCTGTGTTTGGCTCACTTTCCCCTTCTGTTTCTTTCTAGGCTGCTAAGTTGGCCTCAGTATTAAAGAAAGTCTTAGAGATTACAAAGTGAGTATGAGTTACAGTTTTATAAGTGTGTGTTCCCTGCTATGAAGGTTGCTATCTTTCTGCATCGTGTCAAAGGTGACTCATTTCTAAACAGTAAATGCTGGCGTTTTGGAATAAGTGTGATATTATCCAGTCACAGAGGGATGGGAGTAAGACAAGGATGGAAGGGATGAAAGCGGTTCCCACTGAAGACATACACATATGTGTTAAGGTTTGGGACTAGGTTCTTCCTTGCTCAAAGCACTGTGGGGCTATAGCAGTCCTGGCTTAATGCTGTGGTAATTCAGCACTTCACAATACCCGTGTGTTGTCTGGATGCATAGGTATAAGACACCCAGAAGGCATTCCTAATGAATTTCCTCCACTTTTGCAGGACAAGCCATGTATGTCCACCATCAGAGGAAGGCTGGGTGCAGTTTCTAACTGATGCAGTAGATCACAACATGAACAAAATCAAGACCTTCACACAGGGTCAAATTTAGCTCTTCTGTGTCTACATGTGTTGCTGCCACTGGCTCTGCCCTATGCTTTTCCAGTGAATCTCACTGTTCTCCAGCTGCTGGAAGAACAATGAGAACAATGCTCTTAGGAGAGAACTTTACTGCCACTTGGTAAAACTTTCCCAGGAAGTTGCTCTTTTCTGTTGCAGAAGGTGTCATTTTGCTTGGATTCCTGGAGTGGTGCAGTGCTGCATCTTAATGCTGTCAATGTGTCTGACTCTCCCACTCTTCAGACATTACGTCTACTATGGGGTTCAAAGAACAATAAAATATTGCTAGATTTACATGACTGGCTTTATCTTTTTTCATGTGGCAGTGGATATATACAGAAGGAAAGGGTCTTGCTTCTTTTGCAGGCAGCCCAATAAATGACTAAAAGTATGCAGCACTGTTGCTATTTCCTCTCTAGCCTTAGAGAAGAGTGAACTATCTTTTTTCTATTTCCTCAGAAAGCAGGAGAAAATACTATTTACTACTTTACCAACGTCAGGGATCAGTAGGGGGATGAGAGTATGTCTCTAGAGAAATGCTACATCTACCATCACTTTAAAGTTCTAGGATATCCTTTTTTGCCATTGGCAGGGAAAAATGACTAAGCAGTGGTGGGTTCAGCACATGTGCATGGTGAGAAATGCCAGCATCTACTTGAGCATTTAGCCCATCTTTGTCACAGTAAGGTTCAACTTATTAAAACTGGAGAGTGGGCATAGTGGCAGATCAGGGAGAGTTGAGTTTGTACAAATAATCAGGGAGAGTTGAGTTTGTACAAATAATCAGGGAGAGTTGAGTTTGTACAAATAATCAGTCAGACATGGTTTTAAATATAACTTTAATTAAACTGTTAACATCTATGCTTGCCTAAGATAAGGGCGCAGATCATGACCACTCTTTTGTAAACAGGACAGCAGGACCTGTTAGAAGTTGGGCATCAGGCAGCTGCAATGTCGATAGTTTTGTAGCTCTTCAGGTTCTGGAGTTGAAGGCAGGTAAGATGTACAGTGAGTCTTCTGGGCCCTGCTTGGGTGGGGGTGAATGGGATTTGCAGCTGTTGAGTGCTTTTAGGTTGCACAGAGCCCAACCTGAAAGGCAAGAAAAGATCATACAGGAAGTGCACCTCTGTATATTTCTAGTTCCCAGGGCCCAGGATATACATTTGCTAGACAGAGGTGTGGTGCCAAAAAAAAGGAAAGAAAAATATATAGAAGGTGTCCAGCAGTTGTCTAAACTACCGCAATGAAATTGAGATCTGACAGTAGTTTGGGGGAGAGGTATGACAGGAGGGCTGAACTCCCCATGGTGGTATCTAAGGTTACTTTGTCCTAATGCAGCTTCTTGAGAGAAACGCGTGGGTTTTTTCACGTGAAGGAGAGCCTGCCTTTTTGGATGACTTTTGGCTAAGTCAGATTTGCCTGGTTCTTCAGTAGAGGAGGGGAAGACTTAAAATTGTACCCAGGGACTGTCTTTATTGCTGACAGTGGGTAACGGGTGGAAAGATGTCACAAACAGTACAGTTTTACCCCACTTATGGATGTTCAGGTGGCTAGCTAAAAAGCAATTGATTTATCAACAGCAAATAATTTCTGAATTTCAGAGCTCATTTCAGTGACCTATAACGTCTTGTTTAATGTGTATTTCTGCCTAGATTGTGCCTTGTGCTACTTCTCTTGTTACCCTTTTTGTTGGCAGGGGGCTTTCCTTCTGCTGTCTGGGCCTTTGAGGTTGAAGCGTTCACAAACATCGTACGAGCTTCAACTTATGTATTACCCATCTGTTGAAAGTTCTGTTATCTGGGTTTTCTCCTTTTCAGTGTGAAAATCTTCTGTATTATCTATAATTAAAAGACGGGATGCCTGGGGCTTTCATGCTGTAGCAGTCTCTTCTTGCCACATTGTTGCCCGCCTAGTTTTGGGGACAGCCTTTCCTGTGTAAGAGTTTCTCTAGCTTGTATTGTGTCTCTTTTTCCATTTACTGTTCTTGGATCAATCAGTTTGCACTTACCTGTACTTCCTTTGTCTGTAAATGAGCCCTCGCCCTGCAACCACTATCACACACTTCTCCAAGGGTTCGGTGAGAGGGTTCAGGAGGCTGATCTTTGCCGTACTTGGCTGATACTGTACCCTGTTTTCTGGAAACTGTTGAAAGAAGGAAATGAGCTGAAACTGAGAGAAGGAAAGAGATTCTTCTATCATTAAAAGGAGAGAAATTATTTTTTGGTGCCAGAGGTCTCAGCCTGAGCTGCCAGTTGCCGGAAGCACCGAAGTCCAGCTTACTTTCTTCTCAACTGCAGTATTCTGGTGTAGTCTTCTGCAGCCTCTGATTTCCAATTAATGAGTTAGGAATCATCAGGATTTCCTTAGACTCACACACAGACAAGGTTTGCAGTGGGAGTACTGCATACAACAGTGTGGCACAACTCACCTTTTCCAAACTGATGCCTCAGTGCTTTGAAAGAAGACAGCACGAGGAGAGCCACTCAACCCAGCGGAATTTTTTTGCTCCTTGTGACTATGAAAATTATCTTCTCACTACTACAGTAACAGAATGGTAGACCAATCTAACCTCAATAGTGAGAGGGGGATCACAAATGCTGATCTCTTCCTGTGCAAAGTATATGTAGAAGGAGTCCTCATCTCTCAGCATGGCAGTCAGCCTAAGCAAATGGTTCTCTCCCAGCTCTTTTCTGTACTGTGAGTAAGGCAAAAAGACTTGCAGGTTCTTAGCTGAAATAGAGAGTGGTGAAATACAGATGACAATGCAGATGGTAAGTACAGTCTGGTCTTAGCCTGCATGGCACCTAGCAGTGTTTAGTGCCCAACATTGTACTAAAAGCTGCGGCATTTAAAAGCTTAAGTGATCCCAGCTGGATTTGCAGATTCAAAATCTCTAAGGTGATGTTAACCAAAGTGTTTTATTTCAATTGCCTATGGTCAACTATTCAGCCAACCTTTTGTAGACTTACAGCTAAGTGCATTTTTCCTGAAGTGAGAGGACTAGTTATGCTTTTCTAGCCATGCACCTAGTAGAGTCCTTACCTTCATTGTTTTTGAGGGTAAAATGAAATTCCTCCTTCCAAAGTTGGGTAATGGGCACACCATTATAATGTAGAGACTGGGCCCCAAGTACCAGGTGAGTAGCCTTTTCTCCACCACTGTGGTTAAACACTTCAATGGAAAGTGGAACATCTTGTCCCAGTAGCAGAGAACTCTCTGACTGCAGGTGGATGAAAAGGTTAACTGGCTCTTCAAGGGCACTAGGAGTGGAGCTAAACTGTGTTTCACTGCTGCTGCTGATTGTCTTAAGTTTCTTTATCTTTCTGCAGGCTTTGTTAAGTGCTTCTTTTTCCTGCAGAGAACCTGTCACAAAAAAGGGAGCACATATTTTAATGTTCTTTGCTGTTTACTAATGTGAAGCAGTAAATGCAGAAGGTTGGCATTGAATTATCCTGGCAGTACTGTAGGTGAGTGTTTCTAAGAGCATGGAGAGATTCCCTGTTGTGCTTCTGGTTAGAGCAGTTAAGAAATTCAGCTGACAGGACATTCATTGGATGTACCTGACAGATTTTATTTGGAAAGATTTGTTGTGTTTTTTAAAGCACCTTGGTGCTAACGTCTGTCAGACTAAAAGGGGCAGTTGCCTCTGACTATAGCTGTAGCTAGGGCACAGTACTACGTTCTCTTGTGATGGACGGCAGCCAAGGAGACAACATGCCGTAGGCTGAGATGAGATGGTAGGGTTAGGTCAGGGAAATAGATTCTGAAGGGGGAGCTACCTTTTGAGGGAGAGATTTATACAGTATCTGGGAGCACAACAGTCCATTTCAGAAAGCTGGAGTCTGAAATACATCTATATGTATTACAGGGGTAATGGGAGGTGGATGTACAAGTGTACAGGTAACAGAAATGAGGAAAAAGTTTTCCAGATAGGAAAGTGCCTGATGAAAAAAGGCCTGGCTTTCTAGAGAGCTGGTTAATGTAATTAAGCAGGGTGAAATTTGGGATATGACCTGTGCTTTGATTCTGTAGACAGCAAGACTAAGGTGTTCTTAGTCCTATTCAGGAAGGGGAAGCAGAGGGAAGTGGATGACCCTAAAATGCTCTGGTTTGGCTCTTCTCTCTAGTCCTTTACTCCTCACTTGTAGGGCTGGCAGGGAGTGTGCTCGGCCACTTGCCTACCCTGTACCTGCAGGATACTTGTAGTTGTGCGTGATATCCTCACAGCGTTCACTGCCCACGCTCTTGGTGCTGATGTTGTTGCCAGTGTACTTTGTGCCACCGAGACCTGGCTTGAGGGTGTCGTCTGCTTTTTGTATCCAGACCTGGCACTTGGCGTTGATGGCAGCAAAGAAGTAGCAGACATCATAATCAACTTCTGTGTCCCCTTCCTTGATGGCTTGAACAGGGGCTGGCCCGCAGAAGGATGGACCTGAAGAGAAAGTGTTGCCCAGTTAAGATTCAGATGCTTTACCAACTAGACCCATGCCTAGTTTAGACCTGTACTGGGAGTGGTGAAGTATCCAGTTTAGGAGGACATTGGGGAGCAGTGCTGTGACAGAGCTTTTAGAGCTACACAAGCTGTGCAAACCAAACATGAATGATGAGTTAGTGCTTAAAGTCAAAAGGATTAGTCCCTGGAATTTGGGGAAGGAAGGAACATTGAACTGCTTTATGTGCTCCCCGCCTCGTTCCTCCACCTCACTGCCCCAAGCCTGTCTTTGGTATCTTACCTTTACTTTTTTCCTGGCAGGTGGCATCCAGTGCCTGCCACCCACTGTACTCTGGCAGCAAGTCTGCTCGAGCCATCCAGCATTCGTTCCAAACGTGGAAGGTCCTGCAAGAGACAACATCACATGCTTATACCAAGGGACTGAGCCCTGAGGTACAGTAAAGTTTTAGCCAAACTGCAGCCAATTAATGCTACTTTGAAAGAGCTCAGTGCATGTTGAGGAGAGCAGAGACTATGCTTTTTGACATAAGTGGAGTTCTCCAGCTGGACTGGGCTATCATTATTCCTTTGTGGGCCCTAGTAGTAGGGCACTCTTCAGTTTGGGCTGTGGTGATTTCTGAAGAACAGGTCATATAGACGAGGATCTCAGCTGAGCTGTCTCCTCTCCACCTCCCTGCAGCTGTTTACCTCTTTCTTTTCCCCCCTCTATCACTTCCTAGATTCAGGTATTGTCTCAAATTCTTTCTTGGCTCCTGCCATGTTTTCTTACCAGACATGGGCACTCTTGTCTTGTGTAAGCAGTGTCCCATCTTCATCATAATACTCATCGACACTCAGGCA